CATATGCAATAATTGTGATCATATTCAAGGTAGCCATGTCATCATCAGGTGGCTGAGCTTCTAATCGGGCAACGGGGGTGGAACTAAGGCGGGGTAGTGCGGCGGAGCTCGAATCGGGCGGCGGCGGAAAAGCGGCTGTTGCGGCCGATTTGCAGGCGGAGTCCGGCGGAGCGCCGGCGGGGCGCGGCGATGGATCGTGGTAGGCGGCCGGTCGAGGGAGGTGAGGGGAAATTACATCTTGAACGGTTGGAGATGTAAATTTGCAATGCGAGGTGTTGTATTTTACATCTCGGGATGTAATTTTTTCATCTACATCAGCTGTTGGAGAGGGATTTTTGGTCTTCAAAGATGCAAAAGTTAGTTATTTGTACATATACATTATCTATTGAAGATGGTCTAATGATCTGGCAGTGTTCGGCTCCTGCAGGCGCTTGACCACAGCCGGTCAAAGTGTTGCTCCGCGGATACTGCTGTCCTAGTCCTACGAGCACATGGCCTGTTTACGCGTGCTACATCCCGGCTAGAATCACATTCTTTTAATTTACCTAAAATCTAAAAAGCGGCCGGCCACTATTTCGATAGAACGAGCGGCCGGCTCCTAGCCGCACGATTTCGCTCGAAACCGCTGTGCGTGTGCGCTAGGCGGCACCTGGTCGGGGCACTCCCATGTACGGTGCGGACACGACTGGCGTTTAGTGGGAGGCGAAAACCACTCGCGTCCGCACTCGTCGCTATCCGCTCGCGTCCCCATCCCCACCCCCCTCGCATTTGTCGCCGCCCCGCCCCAACTTGCGCCGGCCGCCGCCGCCGCCGCCGACCCACCTCGCATCGACCGATGCGGCCCACGGCGGCCGCGGCAGCTCTGCTGCCACGCCTCCACGCCTCCACGCCGCCGTCTCCCCGTCCGCCACCTCGCCTTCTCCTCTGAATCGAGCCATCGGTCCTCTGCCACGACGCTCCCCCTCGCCTCGTTAATTACTCACGGAAGGTGTCTTCCCTATCCATGATGCTTCAGCAAGCACTCACTGTATGGTACGTGTCTTGCTTCTATGGAATTTAGTGAGAAAAAATTGAGCCCATCCATGGAGCTATGGAATCTGAAGTGGGAGATGCGGTCCTGAGTTCTATTTTCCATCTGAGTTCGAGGAACTGAAGAAATTTCAAGGAGAATGAAGCCTATGCGTGTGGGTGGTCGCTGCTGTGTTCTCATTCATGGAGTTGTGCGTGTGCACTACTGCTTCCAGCCCCATCCTCTGTGGAGGCTTGCTTCCGCCAGGTATGGTTTTCTCCTGAGTGGAAGCAGGGTTGGAAGCACTAGACGCTCCATCGCGCTAGTTGACTAGTTTGTTGTAATAGTTGCACAGGAACACAAACGTAGTTGGATGACTCATATACATATCTCAGTTGGCTAGCCAACTTATGAAGTTGCACACTAAGGGCTAACCAGTTGCACAATCGATGATATTTAGACTTGGGAAATTTACTTGCAATGTTGATTCAACTTGGGTTTCTATGGCAGCTGAAGTAGAAAATGCAAATTTTGTAGCTTAACAGTTGTAATCTTTATCTTACCAGATATTGATGGGAGCAATCAGACTTTTGATGTCTATGCAGTTCATCTATGTTATCAATAATTTTTCATTCAGTCATCTAATCCACCTCCACTTATGCGTGTATAGTCTGCTACCTTACCCAAATAATACTAGTACTGAAATATTAACAACATTTTCATTCTCATAGATTGTTAACTCAACCCCTTCTAGGTATTTTTCTAGGAAAAACAGTCAAATTCATTTGTACAGATGCATCACTTTTGTGATCCTGCTAGTCAATCTCTGGTATGATGCTTGGATTTTTGATGATTGGAGTGTTGATCTGTACAAGAGTTTTTTAGAATTGTGATCTTCAAGTTTTTTAGAATTGTCCCAAGAGTATGTAATGACTTGGCATCCTCGGGCTTTCTAGTTGCAGAATAGTATCTAATTAGTTGGCAACCTCAGTAATTCTAGTTGCACAACAATATACAACTAGTTGACATCCTCAGCTTCTCTAGTTGCACAAGAACTCAGATTAGTCCCATCTAAAAAAATTGAGGATTGCCCGAGAGTATCTAACGACTTGGCACCCTCAGGCTTTCTAGTTGCAGAAGAGTGTCCATTTAGTTGGCACCCTCAGCAATTCTAGTTGGACAACATTATCCAAGTAGTTGACATCCTCAGCCTCTCTAGTTGCACAAGAACTCAGATTAGTCACATCTAAAAAAATTGAGGATTGCCCAACAGTATCTAACGAGTTGGCACCCTCAGGTTTTCTAGTTGCAGAAGAGTGTCTATTTAGTTGGCACCCTCAGCAATTCTAGTTGGACAACATTATCCAAGTAGTTGACATCCTCAGCCTCTCTAGTTGCACAAGAGTTCAGATTAAATCCCATCTTAAAAAATTTGAGGGATTGTCCAACAGTATCTAATGATTTGGCACCCTCAGATTTTCTAGTTGCAGAAGAGTATATCTTTAGTTGACACCGTCTGCAATTCTAGTTGGACAACATTATCCAAGTAGTTGACATCCTCAGCCTCTCTAGTTGCACAAGAATATCTCATTAGTTGGCATCATCAGCATTTCTAGTCGCACAAGAATATCTCATTAGTTGGCATCATCAACATTATCCAACAGTATCTCATTTTCTAGTTGTATTTTTTTAAATATCAAATGAAGGGGAATCACCAGCCTTTTTTAGTTGGCATGGTTAGTTATATACTTGCACAAGTTTTCACTCAACTGTTCTTTTTTTATACCCAGGATGTCAAGGCAGAAGTTGAGATGAATGAAGGAGAGAATCCAGACTGCCCGTCACAGGCTGGTAGGATAAGGGCGTCCCCAGGGAGATTTGTCAAGTTGAATAAAGAACTGACTCCAATGCAAGGAGCAAATTTGTGTGAGAGGCTATTCGGGGGGGTCTTTCGAACGTAGCTGAGACGCTGCCTACGGAGCTGACCAAGTACCTAGTGCAGTGCTACAAACCAGAAACTTCAGAAACCACAGCCGTCACAGTTGCACATGTTTGCTAGTATAGTTGATACATCAAGGCTTCTCTAGTTGCAAATAGTATGCAAAAGTTGGCACATGAAGGTTTTCACCTAGTTCCACATGTTTTTGCTGGTTTTATGGTCCATCAATCTTCTGTCCTTTTCACCCCCCAGAATTGCACATACTATGCAAAAGATGGTACAGGAGTTCATACATAACACATAGTAAAGGGGGGCTTGTTGGCTGCAGTGCCTGGGGATTTTATTTTGCCGGTAACAAGATCTCCACAAGGAGGTTGAGAGAACAGCAGGTAGGGAGGTTCAACATGCATAGAGGGGAAGAGGAGGGATATGAGAAGGGGAAACTCACAGGTTTTGGTTGCAGCTTTTTCCATTCATTTCCTCAGTTTGGATCTCTGCTTCTTCTCCTTGCCATGGCGATCTAGGGTTTTTCCTTAGCAGACAACTAGTTTTCGTGGGTAAGAAGAAGAATTTTGGGGAAGGAGGAAAGGACAGGAGAGGAGAGGAGAGAGAGCTTTTGTAGCGCTGGGGTGGAGGCGTGATCGGTTGGCGGAGCTGGCCGCTCCAGGACGCCTGCCTGGTGCACGCCTGGGTGTGGGGGACCAACAGTTTCCTTTTTGATGCACGTGTGGGCAGTCGGGTAGGAAGGAACTTTCCTTCTGGGACCAAGGGGGACAGGAAGTTGCTTTTTATGGTTGGCCGCTTCATCGCGCTAGTGGGCAGCCGGCCGCCCACTAGACGCTCTTTAATTTATTGTAGCAAAAGGGGGAAGATGCCGCTCGCCGCTTTCACACACGCCGCGGCCGCGAACAGGCAAAGCGAGTCAAGGCCCTGTTATCGGGCAAAGCGACCCCTTTCCCCGCTCTTCCTGTCCGCTCTAGTAAGCTCCAGCCGCCGCCGCCTGTTACGCGGACCGCGCACATTCTTCCCTGGCCATGGCGCGGCTTAGCTGAAGATTGAAGAGGGATCTTGTAGCGGAGGCGGCGTCGGGCGGGGGAAAGCGGCTGGGACGCCCGGAGGCGAGGCGACTGTGCCTAGCCCCGCATACATTTGGAGCTCCATCCATCCGCAGTCAGGCAGCAGGTTAGGGATTTATGCTCCCTCTCGTTTCTGCTCTCCCGAGTTCTAAATGCGTGGCGCTACTGTAATTCCAAATCTCCATTCTTGCAACAATTCATAGCCGCTGACACGGAAATCCCTAGAAAATAGATAGATCTGCGGCTACACCAGAATCCCAGCTGCCTTCTTGCTTCCTCCCTTCGTCGTTCTAGTCCATGTGAACACCGGAGGAGAGAAGATAGGGGGATGCTGCTATAGGAGAGAAAATAAGCTCGGAGGGTATATATATATATATATATATATATATATATATATATATATATATATATAACTGCAACTGATAATCATGTTTCTTAAAGGCTCCGGTGAACTCTGTAGCAGAGTTAATCTCTTCAAAATACATATGTGGTTCTCCTATGGTATATATAGTTGAACATGTTTGGGTTTCATGTCGTTTTCAATTTATCACATTTAAGGAGAGACATGGCTTGTAAGGGGAAAATAAATTTTGCATTCATTTTCGTCAAAAGGGAATTTCTGAGGAAATCCCCTGGAATGTAGATAAGAACTGAATTTCACATTGCACAGGCTAGCTAAGGTAGCTCAGATCTATGTACAAGAGGTCCTTAGCAGGAAGCCTACTCGATCTATTACTATCCATCCAGCTACGGTAACTGGGGTGGGACCCTCGCCCAGCTCATCTCCGGTGGCTAGCCACAGAGGAGAGGGGAGGAGCCAGTGGCGGAGGAGTTCAAGGGCGCTGGTTCCTGGTTGAGGTTTCAGGTTTTTTACCATCATTAGAAAATTTGTTTTGTTCTATAAAGATATAGAAATATACCTTTTTTACACTTTCCTTTCGTGTATGTGCAGAAGGTCCAAGCTAGCTGATATAACATGAGTACAGAAAAGTATATACCGCTACATGTCTTAGAAAAGATCACAAATGAATTCTCAGCACACTTAAGAATTGGAACGGGTGGGTATGGAGACGTTTACAAGGTATGGCTTATTACTTGCCATTTTTTGTTTCAACAAATTAATTAATGTACCAGCACTAACATGAAATGACCGAGTTATAAATAAATAACTGTGTACAATGCTTATGGCAAGTACAGGCAGTTTACAATGGGAGAGAGGTTGCTGTGAAGTTGCTTCATGTTGATACGGTGCAAGGAATTGATGACCAACAATATATCAATGAAGTTGGTAACCTTTTGAGGGTTAACCATCCAAATATCATACAGTTACTTGGTTATAGTTATGAAACAAAGTCTGAATTAGTTCAACACAATAGCAAGCGACGTCTTAGTCAACACATATATAGAGCCCTCTGCTTTGAGTTCTTCCAGGGTGGAAGCCTAGACGTGCGTCTTCGTGGTATGATGGAGCTTAACCTTAATATGTCCGTTTTCTTTTCTATTCAAACAAAAAAAAATTAAGTTCTTTTTCGTATAATAGTCTCTTTATCAACTTGTGTAGAAGAATCTTTTGCACCTGATTGGAGCACACGTTACATGATTATAAAGGGCATTTGTGAAGGATTAGATTTCCTTCACAGGTGTGAGCCACCAATTTTTCATCTTGATCTGAAGCCTGCCAATATATTACTAGACAGTTCCATGGTGCCTAAAGTAGCAGATTTTGGATTGTCAAGGCTCTTTGGTGGATCCCACACTCATGTCACACAGCAAATCAAAGGAACACAGTAAGTGCCTCACCGAATTCCTCATTTTCAGTTTTATTCCCTTTTGCAATCAAATGAACTGTATCTGTGCTGACTGTGTACTTTGATATTGTGCAGGGCGTACATGCCACCCGAATTCATAAACGGCGGCAATATCTCACATAAGAATGATGTCTTTAGTTTAGGTGTTGTAATGGTAGAGATAATGACAGGATCTCCAGGTCACTCCAGTTATATAGAAATGGACGAAGTCGCGCAATTTAAGCAGAAGGTGAGGAAAAACATTTTCAGTTTGACACCCGAATTCATATAACAAAGCACATCAGATATGTTTGATGTCTATACTTTACGCTGTACGATCTTGCAAGTAGTGATCTAACAACTTATTTGTTTATTTATTATAACAAAAGTTATAAGCTAGAAATTCACTGCTGTTTTTTTCCTTTTTCAGGAAAGGGAAAATGTTAGGACCACCAGTACAATAACTAAGTACTCCCTCCATCCCAAAATAAGTGACTCAACTTTGCACCAACTTTGTACTAAGGTTAGTGCAAAGTTGAGTCACTTATTTTGGGACGGAGGGAGTACTAGATATCCCCTACTCCCTCATTTTCAGTTGTACAAGGCCTGCAAGCATTTTGAGGCCAACTTTGACCATGAATTTGACTTACAAAGAGGGCAGCCCGATGCACGTAGCTCTAGCTTGCGCAGGGTTTGGGGAATGGTCCGACCACTTCGGGTCTTTTATACGCAGTCTTTACCTGCATATCTGCAAGAGACTATTTCCAAGACTCAAACCCATGACCTCATGTTTACAAGGCAACAACTTCACCGCTATGCCAAGGCTCCTGGCTCCCCTTCTAACCATCAATTTGACTAACATAATCATTATCGACAACAAAGCCTTTAGTCCCAAATAAGTTCGGGTAGGCTAGAGCTGAAACTCATAAGATCTCGAAACCAACTCATGGTTCTGGCATGTGGATAGCTAACTTCCACGCAACCCTGTCCATAGTTAGTTCTTTGGTGATATTCCAGTCCTTCGGATCTCTCTTTACGGACTCCTCCTGTGTCAAGTTCGGTCTAGTCCGGCCTCTCTTGACATTATCAACATCCTTTGCCCGTCCACTATGCACTGGCGGAGCTACATGTAACCCTGCAGGGGCCATGGCACCCCAGGTTTGGCAAATTTTGTGAAGGAATGTTTATAGGGAGGTACAGATTGCCAAAAATACAGCTTTTGCTCCCCTAGAAATGGGCATTTTCTCTCTTGCCCAAACTAATCTTTTGTAGCTCCGCCACTGTCGCTATGAACTGGAGCTTCTAGAGGCCTCCGTTGAATATGCCCAAACCATCTCAGACGATGTTGGACAAGCTTCTCTTCAACAACATAATAATTATATACTATAAAAAACATACAATTGAATTTGTACCTAGAAAGGAGGTAGTATAGGTATAAGGATTAAAGAATCCATATGGAATTCTTACTTGTCACATAAACAACCAATGGTGGCTAGATAGAGTCGAAATCATTCACAGCTTACTCACCTGTTGCAGACGTGTAGCTGATGACGCGAGGAGACAGAGATTTTCTTTTTTTAGCATTAGTCACTCTCAGAATGAGGTGAGCCATGAACTTGCGGAGTACGCAAGAGTCTATCAATTATCCGACCATGTGCTGGATTTCCAGTAATCAATATGGGTGTGTTTGAAAAGAAATGCATACGTAGAACCTTGCTTCATGAAGATGGTAAGCACACATACGTACAGACATATGTTACATTTATCTCTTTGTTTTTCAGTTTCTTTCCGATCAAGTAGATCGTTTTGATATGCATTTTGGAGCAAAGTACATTGTAAAACTGTTTGCATTCATAGTTTTTTTTGTTAGATGCATTCTCTAGCTAAACTAAGTTATCTAGAATGTCATATGTGACTTGTTTGGACAAAAAATATATTATATTGTATATATTGGAGCAAATGCAGCACTTTCGGCTTAGACCGTTTATAGCGAAACTTCTCCTCCCGGACAATATATTGAGTATGGAATAATTGTGTGTCAAGAACACTTCAGAACAACTATCGTATATTATACATTTATATTATCTATCTCGAATTATATCTCCATATTCTGATTTCGCAGGTACATACTGATTGGAAGAATAGGATAAAAGCCACATCGGAGTACCCATCAGAGGAATCACATCAAGTGCAGACATGCATCGACACAGCAGTGCGTTGTGTGGAACCTGACAGAAACAGTCGACCCACTATAGTAGAAGTCTTGGATATTCTGAACAAGACAGAAACTCATATTCCCAAGAGACAGGTATGATGCGCCCACTTGATGCAAACGAAATAAAAACAAGAGATCATTTAATTTACAACTGGCAGAAGTCAGTTGTGTGGGTACACGCATGGATAACTTGACTGGGATTTTGCAGCTCCTCCTTTCCTGGCCATTTTATTTCGAATGCAGAACTTGCTCTTTGCATCTTTTTGTTTCTTCACTCTTTAATCTATGTAAAACAAACTTCAGTTTAGTTCCGTCTAATTCGATGAACAGAAAAACAAGAGTAACTGTTGATGACGTACGAGGCACCCTGATAGGCAGAGGATAACTTGACCATGATGGATTAGCATAGTGTTGATCATCGAGTCACTGTAACTTGCTTGCTATAAATAAAGGAGAAGTCCTCTGCAACAGCAACCATGTCCATGCGTTGTGTTTTGCTCATGTTCAATCTAGTTGCCATAGAGAGTACTGCCGATCCATGGGAAAAAACCTAGAGCAGCATACGAGGTGGCTGCAGTGATTTTTGGAGATGGCGGTCGGGGAGAGGAGAGGTAGGGAGGCGTCAGCGGCAATCCTCTGTTGGAGGAAAACTGAGCTGGTGGAGGAGAGAAGTGACGCCGCCATGGCGGTAGAGGAAGTTCAAGGAACTGTGGCGCAGAGATTGATAGTGTTGTAGTTGGCTTTCCCAGGGAAGGAAAACTTCTAGAAGACGAGAGGAAGTTCAAAAAACACCATCTGTATTTGAACTTCCTGTTGCGCCTTGCACTGGGTTCGTCCAACTGTGATTTTCAGCCATGTTCTACTTTCTATTTGGTACAACCACTGTTGTATTTCTCGAAATATTGTTCGCTGGACATCTGTCCTCAATGCCTCTCGGAGGTGGTAGCATCACAAATAAGTCCAGCTTATTGAAGGTGGTGTTGAGGCGGCGAAGACAGCCAATATCTTCAGCTGTTTCGTTGTGTTGCATTTTGCCACTCTAGTATGTTGAAATTTTGACTTGCAAGAAATTTTGCCACTCTAATATGTACGTCCTTTTCACTAGGTATATATAACATGTATTTCCTGCCGTTTTGCACGTCTTGTGAATAGCACTTTAAACAAAACCTTCCTTCGCTTAGTGAATGAAAGCATATCCATGCCATTCTTTGATAATGCTGTTTCTGCTCATCTTTCTATGTACTTACACATAAAAGGTTGTTGCAGTTGGCCGACGTTTTCCCATGTCCGATAATTAATCACAGCAATACAATGGCGAATACATTGAAAGAGATGGCAGCTGAACTGGACAACATAACAAATCAAAACCGGTATTCCAGTTTTATGCCAGACAATAGCTCTAATATACAGCAAGTTACTGACTTACGAGAAACAATATCGGATGTGGAGGAAGAACTAGTTATCGGGAGGACTGAAGACACACAGGAAATAGTGGCTACTTTATGTGGGAGCATCACATCGGAAAATAATATCACCGTCCTTCCAATATATGGCATTGGAGGTATTGGCAAGACAACCGTGGCTCAGTTAGTTTTTAATGATTCTCGATTCGCAGGCTACTCTCGGGTGTGGATCTATGTGTCCCAACATTTTGATTTGAATAAAATTGGCAACTCAATTATATCACAGCTATCTGAAGAGAGCCATGTAACTAACAAGCAGATTATAACTAAGAAGCTCAGAGAGCTATTTTCTAGTAAGAAGGTTCTAATTGTCTTAGATGACGTGTGGGAGACGAATCCACGTACACTCAAAGATTTGAAGGTTATGCTAAGGCCGGGTGTGGGCAGCATGGTGACAGTTATCGTAACCACAAGAGATGAAGCCATTGCAAGGGAAATTTGTCATACAGTTGAGCCATACAAGCTAGAGACTTTAACCGATAAACTTTGCTGGGAAATAATAAAACAGCAAACTTCCTTTAAAGACCGAGCCGACAAACAGCAACTGAAGCGTGTAGGAAGGGAGATTGCAGCCAAGTGTGGAGGTATGGCGTTAGCGGCTCAATCAATCGGATACACACTGAAGGGGAAGACATCTGATGAATGGGAGTCTGTCAGGGATAATTATATCTGGAATCTATCTACTTCCGAGGACCCGTCATCAATAGATCATGAAGTGCTTGCATCCTTGCTGCTAAGCTATAGCCGTATGCCTTATTGGTTGAAGTTGTGCTTTTCCTATTGGGCAGTCTTTCCAAAAGGTCACAATGTTGCGAAGCATGATCTAATTCAGCAATGGATAGCTCTTGGACTCACTGAGCCATCTAGAATATTCGATACTATGCAGCTCTGCGAGAAATATTTAACACAACTTTTGGGGATGTCCTTCCTTCAATATTCAATGACAACTTCGGTGAGTTACTACATAATGCTGCTATTCTCTTCTGTCTTCTGTATTCCAACTCATATAGTGTGTATTTTCATGTTCACTCAAGGAGCAAAAGCATTATAGCGGATATGGCCGCTTTGCACTTTTTTTGGAAAATTAAAAAACATGTATGTTGTACAAATGTACAAGGATATGCCCACTAGCGAATAGTTGTCAATAAATATACATTTGTGATCTGTACAAAAATGGTAAATTTGTTGCACAAATTGTTCCACAATTTCGGTCAGTTTTTATCTTTTCCCCAATATTTTTGCTAGTGCTCATACTCGAATACAACACACAATTGCAAATTTTTTATTTTGAAATACGCAATAGTAAGTACTCCCTTTGTTCCAAAATATAAGGTGTAATAGTTTTTTGAAAAGTCAAACATGTGCATCTTTGACCAAATTTTCAGAAAAAAAGTCAATATCTACATTACCAGATTTGTATCATTTGATCAATCACGAAAAGTATTTTCATATTTTATTTATTTTGTATTGTAGATGTCAATATTTTATTCTATAATCTTGGTCGAACATTCACAAGTTTGACTTGCACGAACGATACACCTTATATTCTAGAACGGAGGGAGTAGTTGCTAATGGGTTTATAGGCCCATGTGGGACAAATATATATTTGCACTCTGAGACTCCCTTAGAAAATGATGTTTTACCTGTGGTCAAGTAATGTCAACAATGCACTTTTGCAGTGTATAGTTGATTCCCATATTTGTGCGTTTGGGTCAATGGGTCAGTAGGTGTCTTGGAAGATATATTTTAGCTAATCAATGACCAGAACATATAGGATGATACTATGTTTTTAAAATTTCTGTAGGGGGGAGGGGGTGTGCAGAACTACCTCTCAAACTTGTTCCGCCTGATTGTTCGTTTTGTATGGGTTCAATTTTGACCTTTTTCTTGCACCACAAGTCAATGTTCTCCTTGGTACAACTTTGGTCACTGCGTGATCTTTCAAGAATCTATCCTGTCATACGAGCTTTTGTTGGGACTGCACTCACAAAGTCAAAATACTATACCAAATTCATGGTCATGGAAATATCGTACCCAGATGGAGGCACTTCCATTTATTGATTGATATACTACTCTATTTACACTTTCCTTACAGTTATATGGCAGTACTTCCGCTGATAAAATTACTGCTATAAAACGAAATAAATTCAAAATTCTTACACCATTAGGTGTTTACTGCAGGGCGATAGAGAGCGAGACAAATATGTTACATTGTTCAGGATGCATGACCTTGTACATGATCTCGCAAAAGAGATATTCTCCCATCAAATTAACACATGTGGAAACAGATGCCGCTATGCGTTGATCAGAGATTGTAGCAGCTCATTGCAGTTATCAGTGGCTTTTCCTGCAAATATAAGGGCGCTACATTTTTGGGACTGTCACAACATAGTGCTTTGTGGTGGTGCACTTTCACCAGCTAAGGGCCTCCGTATCCTGGATTTAAGTGAATGCTTTATTAGGAAGTTACCTGATTGTATTGGTCAACTGAAGCAGTTGAGGTTTCTTCATGCTCCACAGATCCAAGATGAGATGATACCCAATTGTATCACCGAGCTCTCAGAATTAAATTACCTCAACCTTAGCAACTCCAGTATCTCATCATTGCCGGAGTCAATTGGCAATATGAAAGGCCTAATGCATCTTGACTTATCAGGCTGCGGTGGAATATGGGAGCTCCCAGTATCATTTGCAGAGCTCAAACAGTTGGTGCATCTGGATCTGTCAGGTTGCCATGGACCTATATCTGAAGCTCTCGGTGGCTTTACCAAGCTTCAATATTTGAATTTAACAGATTATTTGGAACCTACAAACACGAATAGGGGAGGCCCGCTAGAGTTCATCGGTAATCTAACTAAACTCAGGTATCTAAATCTATCGGGGTGCATAAACCCTATTATAGTTCAATCAGAAGATCAAATTGGCAGCTTGTTTGGCTCTATCAGCACACTTTACAATCTAGAGCATTTGGACCTGTCTCAGAATGAAGTGCTTTCTAGTATACCAGAAAGTATTGGCAACCTCCGGAAGCTTCATATATTGGACCTCTCATACTGCCGTAACCTAAAGAAGCTTCCCGAATGTATGATTCAGATGGTTAATCTGAAGGTTCTAAATGTGGCCAGGCTTAATTTGGATGAATCCGTGCTCTCTTGGTCAAAATTGAAATTTGCATCATTACCAGACTTTGTGGTGCATGCTTCTAGTGATAAATGTAGCAGCAATATCATTCTGCTTCGGCATACAAATCCTGAAGAGCTGAACATAGATAGACTTGAAAATGTGAAGTCTGCAGAAGAGGCACGGAGTATAAAACTGATGGTTAAACGAAAAATTGAAAAGTTAAGATTTGAATGGACTTCAGCTGCTGAGCGGTTTGTGGATGACAAGGATGTGTTGGAAAAACTAGTGCCACCAAGCAGTGTACACTATTTTTCTATAAAGGGTTACATGAGTGTCAGCTTTCCTGATTGGCTTATGGATATTAGTTGGCATCTCCCTAACCTCCAAAAACTATATTTTTTTGATTTTCCCAAGTGCACCGAGCTACCATCACTTGGTGAACTACCAAACCTACAAGAGCTGGATCTCTACCGTATGGAGAGGTTGGAAAAGTGGAACACGGAATATACCAATTGGGACGAAGGAACAAATGAGCTCAGGTTCCGCAGGCTTCATAAATTGACCATAGACCGATGCCCGAAATTGAGGATAAAACCATGTCTCCCTAGAGCTATACTGGACCTGGAAATAATAGATAGTGATAATGTGCTATCATCATGCAGAGAGAGCTCATCACACCGTGGTGCGACAACAACTCATTTGCGTGTCGGTGACAGCAAGGTGCCCATGCATCAGTGGAGGTTGCTTCACCACCTCCCCGCCCTTCGTAAATTAAGTATCGCAGATTGCAGTGATCTGACCACCTCATCTGAGATTATCCAACACCTCTCCTCCCTCAGATCACTATCTCTGAGTAGGTATAAGCTTGAAAGCATGGCATCACCACCTCAGTGGTTAGGAGAACTTACCTCTCTCAGAGAATTGAATATCCGGCAGTGCAAGGGGATCGGGTCTTTTCCGGACAGCATACAACAACTGGCTAATCTTGGATATCTAAGCATCTCCAGCTGCCCTGCATTAGAGAAATGGTGTGAATCAAAGGAGAACTTTATGAAGCTTGTTCACATCAGAGGGGTACGGGTTCCTGCCAAGCTTTTGTTTGTATTGTGTTAAACCGCAAATATACACAGGGCACGAATTATTCATCTAAGAAAATAATTTTTGTTGTAAATACAACTATACTTGCTCTGTTGTTCTGATTACACTGTTTACGTTGTTCAGGTCCGTGTGGCATTGCCATCAACATCGGCAGACATACCCCTGAAATATTTGGAGGCAATGATCATCGAGGAGACCACCGACTTGACCACCATTAAGGATACTGTGACTGACGTGGTGCATCTGGATCCCTTGTACACTGCTGTGATGAACATGCCTGGCTTTGTTGAGGAAGCTTTGCTTGTTGCCTTATCTCATTTGATGGACAACGATGCCCAGGCTTCTGCGTATATGGTTATGGAGGAGGAGGACCGAGTATCATGGCTCAGGAATTTCCTGGCAATGCATTACTAAAGTTTTTTTTCCTACAAAGAAGGCAAAACACTACTGATTTTTTAACCGCTACTTTTGCTGTAATAATTGAAGATAGATGAAGTTTCCCAATTGCAAGACTGGTGGTGAAACTAAATTATGCATGCAAATCCTACTGTTTTGTTGTTTTGGATTAAGGTTAGCGTGTTGTTGTGTATTTACGTGTTGACTTGTAGTCTTATACTCCCTCTGCCCCATAATATAAGAGCCTCTTTTACACTAGTGTAGGGTCAAAAACGCTCTTATATTATGTGACAGAGGGAGTACGTACTTATTTGAAAGGCGACTGATAGGCGCCGGTGCGCCGGCCCAAATTTGGGCCGGTCGCACCGAGTACCGTACGATCTGCAAAACTGGAACCGCACGATCTCCTACCCTTCCTCCTCTGTCTTATTCTCTGATAAAAATTCCCATCGCGCCGTCAGGGACGAGCGACGCGCCCGATCTAGAAGCTCTGCCTGGCGTATTTCGCCTGTCGCCGCCGTTGCCGCCGTCGTCTCTTTTGTTTCTCGCCGGCTCCGTGAATGCAGCAGCTTGTCCCTGTAGTTGCAGGTCCCCGTTTCGACAGTCACAGCTCCGGTGGCGGCGCCGCATCCCCGGCGCATGGCGGTCGCCGGGCGCAGCACCTCCTCCGACGAGCTCGCAAAAAACCTGTACTCTCCCTCAGATTGCCGGTAGCGGCAAAAATGTCATCAGTTGTAGCAAAAAAGGGTGTCGGTTCCAGCAAAAAAAAGCTCGTCGATGTCGCCCGCCGTCGCCATTGTAGCAAAATTGTTAACCGGTTGTAGCTTCCGTGGTTGCTGGTTCCAGCAAAAATGCTTCAACAACAAAAAAATGGTTTTCGCTAGTGGTAGCATAAATGAAAAACTATTCCAGCAAAAAAGTAACACAGTTCCAGCAAAAAATGCGCTGCCGCCAATGGTCTTAGACAAAAATCTCACCAGTTCCAGCTCTGCTTTCGGCTGGATGTAGCAAAACTAATTGCTAGTTCCAGCCAAAAAAATCGATGCAGCAAAATGCTTGGCAGCCACCGTCCTAGCATTGTAGCAAAGTCGAGCTCTGGTTCCAGGAAAAAATGGAGCGGTTCAAGCAAGAAAAATGGATGTAGCAAAAAATCATACAGCGAAGGCACCAGCATCCTCTCAATATGCAGCAAAAACGAAAGATGCTTCCAGCAAAAACAAATTGCGGTTCCAGCAAAAATTATGCAGCAAAAAATCATGCCGGAACCACGGTGGCAGCGAACATGGCCTACACTGCGACATGGGAGAGGTTGGGCCGAGCATGGCAACAAAAAAATCGACGGCTGTACGCGCCGTCTCTGCGTGGAGCATGAGATGCCATGGATGAAGTGATTTGAGAAAGAAGAAGCAGAGGAGGGAATGCGTATGAGGAGGAGGACAGAATGAGTGGAGGACAGAATGAGTGGAGGAGCTTGGTCCTGAGAAGATAAGGTGAGAGGCAGGAAGCGGTGCGTGGGACCAGAGCAACGTGGTTGTGTGTACGAGCGTAACGCGCGTTGTGAGCTATGCGGCCGGCCGAAGTTTCGGCCGGCACGCCGATTTTAAACGTTTCCCTATTTGAAAAGGGATTTGTGATGTGTCCGCAGATCAGGAAATGCCGAGCAGTGTGTGGATGCGGACTGGCCGGATGATAGCGGCCCAGCGCGACAGGAGGCGGGGGCAGATTTGATAACTCGATTTAGACCTATAGCCCTGATCAATAACTTCGCCAAGCTTCCGGCAAAAGGCTTTGCTACTATGTTTCAATCTGGCCTTATTAGCTAAACAAGCGTGGCGCCTGCTTGATAACCCTGATTCACTATGTGCTACAATTTTGAGAGCTAAATATTTTCCAGATGGAGATTTAATGAATGTGAGTTTGAAAAAAGGATCCTCTTTCACGTGGCAAAGCATTATGGCCGGAGTGGATTCTCTCAAAAAAGGTTATATTTGGAGAGTTGGTAATGGACAGAATATTGATATCTGGAGAGATGCATGGATCCCGAATGGGGCAAATAGAAAAATTATCACTCCTAGAAGAGGGCAGCTTCTAACAAAAGTTGCTGATCTTATATAGATCCAATCAACAATTGCTGGGATGAAGATTTGGTAAGACAAACATTGTGGCCAATTGATGTCCAGAGAGTGCTTACGATCCCCCTCCCCACGTATGACATGTCGGATTTCATAGCTTGGAGCTTTACAAAGAATGGACTGTTCACGGTTCGTTCTGCTTATCTAGAGGAATGGAAAGCCCAACATGGAAGGAAATTGCAACACTCAGATGGCATTGGAGGAATAAATGTCAATACTATTTGGAGCAAGATTTGGAAATTATCTTGTCCAGCAAAAGTGAAGATCTTTATTTGGCGTACCTTACATGGAACCCTCCCGTGTCGTGTTACACTTGCTAATAGACATATGAAAGTTTCGCCCACCTGCCCATCATGTTCAAACGGGCATGAAGATATTAAACACTTATTATTTTTATGTCAAAAGGCAAAAGAGGTGTGGGAGAAACTGGGATTGCACGAAGCCATTAAAAAAGCATGTGCGGTCGATCGTGCGGGAGAGGCGGTACTTGAATTTCTAATTTTTATGCCAGAACATGAGCTTCTACATTGGGCACACAGAATGTTCGCGAACTGATCGCTATAACAGCCTGGTATTTATGGTGGGAAAGACGTTCGCTAGTTCATTAGGGGAAGACCCAAGATGCATACCAAATTTCGATGGGAGCCCGTGCTATAACGACGAAATATGTTATTGCCCAATCCTCTAAGGCAACAAATAAAATAGAGGGATGGACGAGACCCCCTCTAGGTTTTGTGAAATTAAATGTCGATGCTTATTTCGATCAAGACATGCTTAGAGGCACAGCGGGACACTACTAGGGAAAAGCCTAGCAGAGCGCGGGTTTTGGGCCTATTAGTACCCGCGCTACTAATAAGGCGCTACAGCTAACTTATAGCAGTAGCGCGGGTGCAACCCGCGCTACAGCTAACGCATAGCAGTAGCGTGGGTAGAAACCCGCGCTACTACTAATCTGTAATCTCTGAATTTTTTTTTTGAATTTTTTTGAATTTTTTTTTTGAATTTTTTCCCCTAATTTTCAAATTTCTGAATTATTTTAACCTCAAATCTCTAATCACCCTTCATCGCTGCTCAATTTAATCTCTAATCACCTCTCATCATTCCAAATCATCTAACTTCCCAGACGGTCACCCATCCTCTCACTACTCCAGCCTGAGCACGCTTAACTTTCGGGTTCTATTCTCCCTCGTTTCCAAGTCTGCACTTGTTGTTTTCCTGACAATAGTAAGATGTCAATCCTATTAACCTCAAAAATTTAGCTTGAGCATGAAGTCACACATTTCACTGTTTGAGTTTGAAACTATTGTTCTAAAAAATTAGTAACACTAATATTTCTTGAATAATTAGTTTGACCATAGTTTGACCACAGTTTGACCAGATTTGACCACAGTTTGACCATAGTTTGACCAGATTTGACCAAAATTCAAAAAAACTAAAATAATTATTTAGTAACACTAATATTCTTGAATAATTAGTTTGACCATAGTTTGACCAGAGTTAACAAAAATTAAAAAAAACTGATTTTTTTTGAATTTTTTTGCCTCCAGATCTTAAAAGCCCCGTAACTTTTTTGTGTTAGGTTTTTGAGGATTTTAAAAATCTTTAACGGGGTTCCAGAGAGATTTTTCATCCGAGTTCGTATGCAAAAGTTATGGCCATTTTACAAATTTTCAGAGAGATTTTGCAAATAAAGTCGAAATTCATATTTGTAAATTTTCCCAACAACTAGACCACATATCACATGGGAAACTTATTTTCTTTTATTTTTTTGACATTTTTATCATTTTCTTTTATTTTTTTTAAAACTGAAAAGGCGGTCGGGGG